GATAGATAGATAGATAGATAGCGCTGTAGTGGAGCTGTCCGCGGTGCTGGAGTTGGAGCTGTACAATATACTGGCTACGGTCCGCGGTTATGTTTGTGTGGTTTCATGTAAACCTTAATTCTCATTTAAATTTTGGTCACATTGCAGCAAATTCAAATTTCGGAGACAGCTTAGCAGCTTGGTATCCGCGATCAAGACAAATAAGAGAATTAACGTCAGACTAAACCAACAAAACTTTACTCTTTGACGGCCATAACCACAGCGGTCCCAGGCCCTGAGCTGTTACTACTGTATTGTTTGCAACTTTTCTGCAAAAAGTTTCATCATTAAAATATCATCCAAACTTTAAAAAACTGGTTCAGGACATTGAATAGAGGGAAATAACAGGTTTTTATATGTTAGCTCCAGGAGAAGAGGTGCTTTGTGGAAAATAAAAAAACACAACCCATATTACAAGTTTCAATATAAGCAAAAGATCTAAAGACTATCCAAAATTAACATTTTTATTCAGTTAAAAACGTTATGACAGGTAGACAATAACAGTTGTGAAAGGTGTTTTCGGTAGGCCTACATCGTTTCCAAATGAAATGTCAGAATCAGTGGGCTTAGCCCCAAACTAATGGAGGGCCCTCGAAATATGTGGCAGTGGCAGATACAGTAATGGCATATCTAATCTCAAATACAGTCCATATTTCACCTTTGACATCACACCTGAATTTCCACACAAAAAACATTCAGCAGCCCAATCTATCAGGTGTGTTTTTTTCTTTTTTCAAACACTTAAAACAGGAGGATTGAGAACTCACATTCATTCAAAAGCGATTGAAACGCTTGCATTTTCACAGGAGCCACGTGATCTGGCTATTTATCTAATTCTCCTTATGATATTGATGCTGGCAATTTCATAAGGCTATTTTGTTTGTCAGTCCATCAACGTTAAAGCCAATTCTGTAAGAGAGAGAGAGAGAGAGGTTAATGTACATAATATTTATTTTTCACACAAAATTATAATTCACTCCAACCACTACACAGTTGGTAAGAGGCGGAAAAAACCAAAGTAGTGTCATTCTGAATCACTAAGTGTTGAGACCGACTCTTACCTTACCATCCGCCAGCGGCAGACCCTCCTCCACACTGTTCTCCACACGGCCCCACGCAGCGCCGGACTACCCCAGATGTACAGAGTCGGCGTGACCAGCGCGTTCAGGCGTGCCATGATGGCAAACAGGTTAGTGGCTTCATTCCTAAACCTCATACCTTTGCTAGTCAACTGTCTGACTATTATATTGACAAAGGATGGACACCACAGAGCCAAGAAGAAAATAACTACAAACACAATGATGCGCAACGACTCCTTCTTGTTGTCTCTCTCGGTGCTGGGCACCTCTCTCACCAGCTGATTCCTGGCTATGATGTATAATTTAATTGTCATCAACACTTTAATGAGAACAATAATCTGCAGAGCAATTACACCAAACGCGTTTATTTGAGCCGCCTTTGAAATGGGCACCATGTTCTGCACCGTGAGGATGGTGTAGGTGTAAATCCAGCAAAACGCGCAAATCCCAATGACAAACGCCCTCGTTATGTAGCGGTGGTAAAAGAAAGGGTGGCACACGGCGAAGTACCGGTCAAACTGAGCGAAGAGAAAGGTCAACACATTGACTCCTAGAAATGAGGGTAAGATATAGTAAGTCCCGTTCCTTGAGGGATAGCCCTCTTGGACGTCAAAGAGCCCGAGGTAGTAGACCGAGAAGCCGGTCAGAGTGTCACTGATGCTGGTGTTCAGCATGAATATAAAACGGTTCTGGCCTCGCAAGGACCGGGTGGAGGATATCCCGATTACCACGGAGCCGGCGACGAGCACGGCACTCGTGGCGAACAGGATATGAAATATGAAGATGATGAAGTCCTCCGGAGTGTCGAAATCCACCGACAGAGGGACGGTGGCGTTAAGGAGCATCCTGACGCTCCGCTAGAAGACGAGCGTCCATTATATTTATAGATGAAAGGTGCTTCTTGTCAGGATTTGAGCGAACCTCTTTGATCTCTAGAGGGCAGAGGCTTTAGCATAAACAAGTGTAATGTTAAGGTGACTCATGACAGACATATGGAAAGAATAAATGAGGCCTAATCACAAGAAGTCCCAGAAGTGTTCGGTAATGGTGATCAGTCACTTGTTTGTGCGTCCTGTGGTTTCCATAACGCTTTCTGGGTAATCTGGTGCGGCCTAAAATGTCCTCTTTCACCTTTAAGTCTGAGTTCTACATGGTTCAGGATTACCCAGTAATACCACTTGATGGTGAGGGTATTATCATGAAATCGTGCATACATTCATGCATAAAAAAAAGAAATGAACTAATTCATGTAGCGCTTCATGGACTATCAGAGAAATTAATACAATCGCATGCCTGACTTAATGCAAGAACATCAAGTAATACAACAACTGAGGTATTTCAATCATAATTTGTAAGTTATTCAATGTTCATGCCTTCTTCAAGTCTGAGACAGGGCAAAAAACTAACACACACTTCTTCATATCTTCATCATGTTTGTGGCCCTTCAGCTAAAGTAGTGACCTGGCTCATATTCACCACTGATATATAAAATAAAATGTATTAAGCATTTATGGATTGTTTTGGCAACATGACACCAAGGTCACTGAATGTGGTCACAAAATGTACTACAGAGGCCTAAGGTCTTCTTGCTTCATTCACAAAAACATAACCAGGCACTTATCAGACCAGATTGAAGAGCCACAAACAAGACACCACATGGACTTGAATACATAGTCACACTGTGTCCTGTCCCTTTAACGGCAGACTTACTTATGAAGAAGACATGATCATCATTAGTAACTCAGAAATCGTGTTGATAGCATTAAATCATGCATTAGACACTGTTAATTCTTGTACATTACTGATAGTTAATGAAGTGCTACATGAATAAATTAATTATTTTTCATGCATAAATTCATGCTAATTCACCATAAAGTGCTCCTGAATACTTTAATCAAGTTTTATCACTTCTAAATCAACAGAGATATTCTTCAACAAAAAAACTAAATGTGTTGATTAATGGAGACATCTGTGTAATGAGAAAGTTCTTGTCTCTGCAGGAGTCGTTTGAGGCCTTCCTTTTTTCATAACACAGTTGTAATGGAAGATGATTCCGTTCTTACAAATGTGTGTTTTGTTTTTTAAATGCTTTGTTACATTAAGACATACTGTATATATCCTGGCATTGAATCATTAGATGTGAACTTTGACCCTGCCTAAAGTCAATGTGTGTCTCAGCCACTAGAGGGAGCAGTAAGCCATTTTTTCATTATATGTCCAAAACACTTCTCTCTACTGTTGGCAATAATCCAAATAAGTTAAGAAGTATTCAAATCTTTAAATTAAGTAAAAGTACTAATACCATAGTATGAAAATAATTCATTACAAGTAAAAGTCATCCATTCAAAACTGTACTGAAGTAAAACTATTATTTTATACTAAAATATTTACTTGTATCAAAAGTGAAAAAAAAAGAAAGTGTTGTTAGTGTTTCAGTATTATATATGATATTTTTGATTAATATTACTGCTGCATTAATGTGTGTGTTGCATTTCACTGCTGTAGATGTTTCAGGTTGAGATCATTTTAACTACTTAATATACTGTTGGGTAGTTTAATCTACAGCAATGCATCATAAGATCTTAATGTTTGTAGTGCTGCTGTTATGTGAGAACCACGTATTTCTAAAAAGTCAACTTTTCATGACCTTAGAGAAACAGTTTGGCACAGACAAGTTTGGTGTAATAAGAGTGAGGCGGCTTCTTCTCTGTGTTGTTTTTTAGTTTTCCTAAAGCAAGAGATTTAACTAAACCTTATAGCAGCCCCAGATTTGCAGGTTCCTATCTTACTCTACTTTCTTTCTTGTGTCCTAAAATTAAAACGAGCTTCAGAGGCTGGCGTTGACTTATAAATGTTTCTGACAGCTTTCATACAGCTGAGGTGCTGAGAAGTCAAAGTGTCATTAAAAAAGAATATAATAATAAGAATTATATAAGAGAGAGAGAGAGAGAGAGAGAGAGGGCAGAAAATCTAAAACATTTAGCGTATACATTCAGTAACAGACTCTAGAAAGAGATTGACTATTTAAATTTGCTAGTGGTAATTTATAATAAAATTGTATTTGATTTGTAATAACAGATTCTAGACAAAAGCAAAGCTAAAAAGTTTGGTTTATTGCACATGCTGAAAGGCCTTTGATGCTGTGAGTGAAGTTTTGGAAAACCTGCAAATTATATAATCAGTTTATGTTCTTCAACTCTGATATAAAAGTACTGAAGTCAGGATTGTAAGATGTGAAGGTAACATAAACTTTATCAATGCAGTGAGATAAAGATAAAAGATGAATTTAGTCAAATTGTTGTTATTCAGGCCTATTGATGAAGTCATTAGAATCAGTCGACGGCCTTTTTCCAGGAGCTTGTTGAGTTGTTGTCCATGGGAATTAAAGTCACCGAGGTCGACGTCTTCCTGCATGAGCCCGACTGTGTGTCCTACATAAACCAGAGCACAGGTAGAAACCCCCTCAGCTGCATTGCTTTTCTTTGTAGTGAAGAACTGAATCATTCTGTTGCACACACGCTTTTCTCCGCACCGATGAGCAACAGCAGCCAGGGTCTGTCTCTGGTTATGCCTCCCACCAGCTTTGGCAATGTGTTGATGGTGCTTTTCAGCATTCTCCTGGCTGCGACCATCATTTTCCTCAACGTGTCTGTGTTTCTGTCCATACTGCTGAACAAGGCGCTGCGCAGGGAGAACCGCTTCATGTACATGCTGAGCACCTGCCTCAGTGACATCTGCACCGGCGTGTCCTATTATTATGTCGGCGTGCTCGATGTGAGGGACAGCTACGACTCCCCTACGAGAACCTTTTTCATCGTGCCCACATTTCTAGGCCTGTCTTACATGGCCATCCTGGCAGCGCAGGCAGACAGGTACCACGCGGTGGTGTCACCTTTTAAATACTCCCAGCACATGACCCGAAACAAGACCCTGCTCATCATCTTCTTGTACTGGCTTTACGCGTTCTTGATCGTGGCTGCGCACAACCTGGTCACAGTCGGGATAGCCAAACAGATCACGAGCATTGGTACGTTTGCGGGGAACATAACCACAGTGATTATAATGATAGGGCTGAATGTTAGGCTGTTCATCATAGCCAGGTTCCAGTTGGAGAGGGAGCCGCCCTCTGAGGAGAGAGACAACAAGCGCTCGTCAGTGTATCTCATACTGGTGGTGGCTGTGTTCTTCTTAGGGACGTGGCTGCCTATATTCTGTCATATTACGGCCTGTCATTTCGTCCGTTCGCCCTGTTACAACTTTAAGAATGAAGGCACTGACCCTCTTCGCATTTTGCCCCGAATTAACGCTTCCCTGACCCCCCTGCTGTACATCAGAGGGTGCGCTGGGCTCAGAGAGACGCTGCTCACCAAAGTGTGGAGACCCTGCAGCGCGCAGAGGTGAGAGGATGTGGATGTTTGAGGAGTCTGCACGTTACACTTCACTGTTATCCAAATATGCTTTTCATGATAGTTAGAGCCCAGAATCACCTTTTAGATTTAGCAGAAAATGTATTTTTTTCATGTTTAATCAAGATGTTCACATCAGAATATCCAAAATATAATGTATTTATGACAATATTCTGAATGCCCCATCAACACTACGACTTGTGGACATGAATATATTGTAGCTCACATTACAGTTTGTGTTTTATGACATATTTGCATGTTTTGTTAATTATGTTATTTTTTGTTGTAACTTGCTTGAAATTCTTAAATCTTTTTTTTTTGTTTGTCGTGAAAACACCAGGGCAAATGTCTTAAGTATTGAGTTAGTTTGATAATAAGCAATTGAATCCATATATGTTTTTTTCCCCCTTCTCTTTCATTCCCTTCATCAGGCGGAATCTTGGACGACTTGGCCCAATACACACCCGCTCCCCGCGGGGTAATTTTAAAGTTGGATCGATGTCTATGACTGTAAATTCATGCCAACATAAATAACGGATGGAAGATTGATGAGGAATGTTTCATCATGCAAATGACGAGGACAAGTTCGGGCTTTGGGTTTCTTGGATGTTGTAATATCATACTCAGCACATCTAACGACTCTTTTACACCTCATTATTTCCATTAGTCTCAAATGGCAATGAACTCGTTAAATGTTTAGTCTAAATGTTCAACACAGAAGTGATGGGGGAAAAAAAACAAATGAACACTGAATCTAGTTGTTTTATAATACAATATATCTATATACATCTCAAGAAACAAACATTAAAGGTCGTGTGCCAACTTTTTATGATTACTTTCAGCCCTGTTGATTTTCTTTGTCAACATCTTTATATTTTTATTCTCTTAGAAAACATTTAAATGTAAAATATGTGTATGACCTGGTGTTTTAATTCCAAGTTTAAGTGAACTTAACAATTTGTAACGCAAACTTAACAAAAGGGGAAACAGCTGTGTTCCAACTGATCGGCTGTCTTCAGACAGAAACACAGGCAACTCCATGTGCACATCTTCCCTGCAGAGGATGCAGTTCCCGCGGCAACCGCACAGTGTCAGAAGAGCACTTTGGCACAGCGCCATAACTTCGATCTCCATGGAATGTGAACCATAAGCATGAAGCATGGTAGACTGGACTGATACAATATCTGCATCAGTCTGTATCTCTGCAGCAGCTTACAGGCGATTGGGCACACATATGCACTACTAGCTGCAAGCCGGGCGGCATCATCAAAGTAATGTCGTTAATAAAGTTTCCAATAAATGGTGTGTAGGTGAGGGCCATCGCTTGGTTGTATCCTTCTTTGCTATTGGCTGAGGGCTGGGTCCTCTGTGCTAAAAGGAGGAGCCACCAGATCGCCACACTTCCGCACATCTGGTGCCCAATTTCTGAACCTAGCCACCTCTCTCTCTTCCTTTCTGCTGATACTTCTAAACAATCTGGCCACCAGTCATATGGAGATCTGTCATGACTTTGAGGTCTCAAATGTAAAATGATCCTAAATCCAGCTGATAAACTGATTTGAGAATAAACATGGTTGGTGCAGCTTTCTATGATGATTGCAATGTGCGCATTAAATACTCTGCATATCAAACTACATATAAAGACTCTTGAACTTGCAGGTGGTGTAACAAGTGCAACGCTATCTATATTTAAACCTGATGATAAAATACAACATCATGTATTTGCTTTCCTTAAGGCCTTAATTAAACATTATATATATATATATATATATATATATATAATAGATATATATATATAAAGGAAATCCCTGATGTCTGTCACCACTTTATTTAAACACAGCCCCACTGGCACTTGTTTTTATCTGCACTCCCTCTCATAAAAGAATAAAATTGTTTAATAATTCTTTTAAATGAGAGAATCAGGCCTTTTACATTACACATAAAAGACATGTCAAGTCAGACATCTTTGGCAGTGCGGACCTGCATTCATTCAGCAGTGTAGGAGTCGTGCTGCTGGTAGAAGAAGGCCCTTAAAAACCACAGTCTGAACACGGCATATCCCCCATCTGCCTTTCTCTCTCTCTGCCATCTTGCAGGTAAAGTTGCCAGGGGTCTCGGGCTGAGAGAGAGTGGCCAAACCCTCCCACAGTGGGATGTTTTCTCTGCTGCACTCTGGGCTGGTTTCTATTCAAATGTGGGTCAGGGGTGAGGAAGCCTAACGTCATAAGCTTGCAACATGGCGTCCCGAAGGCTGTGAGATGAGCAAGAGGATGGTAAAGAACGCTTGAGAACGATCCTACCGATGTAATAAGGTATTTAAAAGAAATATTTTCTCTTTAACGCGGATTGCGAATGTGTAACGGGGCTACTTTCGTGTCTGTTTTGAGCGGATCGGTTTTTTTCTCGCCGCCGCTGCACGGATCGCAAGAGTTTTTTTCGGCGTTACCGTGGTGTTTTTTTCCACGGCGTGCCAACAAAAAAAAAAAAAAAAAGGGGCTCCTCTGGTGCCTGTTCTGGCTCTACCAGCCTGCTTGGCAAGCCGAGGGATCCCACTTCATTTGTTCGAGCGTATCGCGGCTCCTGCTCGAAACCGCAAGATAAATTGTGGCCGTATTTTCGGCGTCGTGGGGCATGGAAGAGATGCCCCACAGGACGAGTGTGTGGACACCAAAATAATTACCAGGCTGGCAAAGCACGTTAGGCGACAGAAGGGATCCACGAACGGCTCGTCGCAGCGCTTCAGAGATGTTGAAAATGTTCCCACACTTTGCCTCGTTTACACCCTGTTTTTTCATAATCCGATATGTTGAATGAATTGTTTACATGAATGTAAGGGGGTAATGAGCTGGAGATTTCATTTAAATCGATCGCCCCCCCTTGCAATCAAAACACAGGTATTTTTGATTTTATTATTTTCGAATAGCAGTAAATTTCCCACTGTGTGATAAATGAAACGGGACTGGTTTGGGGGATTTTACGCACGGTATTTTGCGCCATTATTATGATAACCATAGAGATGCCCCACTCGATACCTATAGTGCAAACTGCATTGTTTATATGTAGGTTAAGTCACCATGGTCTTAGGTGGTGCTAATTAAAATTAATGTAACAGGATTTACTTGCAAATATTCTCAATACAATATGAAGACGCAGCTACTTTCTGGTTTAAAACGGTGTCTTTTTTTTATCGATGCAGGATCACTGTGTATGTCTTTTTAACCTATAGGTAGTACTGCTATACATCGACCATCTTTGTGATCGGCTACAGTGTGGGTGTGTTGCATCGTGACCCAAAAGCTGCTGTGCTTTAATAAAAACAGTGTTGCATTGTGTGGATTTCCAGGTGTAAATCACCAGTCTGATAAATCCCCCTACATCAGTATGTTGGATATTTTGATTATTAAACTCTAATTCATGACAACCACAACTCACTTGGTAAACAATGTGATGCAGTCAGGTGTGAAGGTTGCTTGGCTTCTCAGGTGATTGGTGTTGTTAAAGTACCAAGGGGCATGGAGATAATAAGGCACAAGAATGTCAGTAATGTGGGTTCCCTTGACTGGCTGCTGTTTTTATGTAACCAAATGTTTAGTTGTGTAAAAACATTTCCATTGTAGGTCTGTTTTCACGTTGCGCAGTTTCAACTAAGAAAAATGACACAATACACCAGATGTGCTTGTGATAAGAGGCAGGACTGGTGTGCCTGTTATACATGCTAACAACATGTGAGATAGTATTATAATGGTAAACTCTCTTTTGTATCACCTGTGTCACTCTTCGTGCTTGGGTTAAATGAGACCCTCACTTGAGATCCTCAATGTGTGTTGGTTAGCCACAATCGTTTTAGTTGGTTTCATACATGACAAAGGTGGCTCTGCACAATCTTGTTTGTGGCTGAATCACACAAAGTTATGTGTTTCTATTCTTTTAGATTGAATACATTCAGGGCAGTTGTTGGCGTGAGCTCATTTTAAGGAGCTGTTGTGTTGGGAGTTTTGGAAAATGTCGCTTTCCATAGATGTTGAGACTTTTTAGTCTTAGGAAAGTTTAGACACAACATTTGAGCAATATGAAGGTAAATCCTGGACTTTCACAACCTCTTATCCTTTTCAGTGTTGCAGGGTACCGTAGCCTACAATATGAAGATTATAGGACTATATCTTGGCTGGTTACACCCACCCAGAAGTGTAGTTAAAGTGTGCAATTGCAATTTTTAACATTACAGTTGGCACAAGGCATAAAGCACAAGATTTTGGAGGCTTGATGAGTTGCATTCAAATACATTTTACACGTGATGTATACATAATCTTATTTGGTGAGGCTTGTAAAGCTCCTGGTCTGCATTTGATGATGACTGTGCTGCATTTGTAACAGCAATAAGCTTTGAAGCCTGACTGTGCTAAGTGTTTAGTTCAAGTAATCCCATTATTTTAAAGACGGTGTCTCTTACACACACAGGTATGCAGAAATTAAGAACTTGTGTGAGTGAGGATACAGCATTGAATTTTAATTGATCTCTATCTTTCGGATAGTAGATTAAATATTACACTGAAGATGTTTTACTTAGGCTGTGTGGCAAATGTGTAGCAATCTCTACCAAAACACCTAAAAGAAGATGTGAGGAAAACAAGTGTAACAAAGTTACCGTTGTGCTCTTTTGCTTTTTGTTTTATTGCTGAACCATCAGCGTATTGTAGCTGTCAATATATAAATATATATATTTGTAATCTAATGATAAGTGTTGAACAAGTTAATTTAGGCCATTAAAATGATCAAGTCTAGTCAACTGATCAGTGTGACTAGTTTCATTGATTACTATGGACTACAAAGTGGGGCCTGAAGGGTAATTTGAGGCCCGTGTGTACGCCTCATGATCCTCATGATCAGCCGGTTGGTTTCGCCTCACCCTACTTGTCCCTTCCCCTTCTCAACACACGCACGGTATCCTGTGTGTACATTGTGATCATGGCTTACAGTGGTGTGTGTGTGGGCAGC